ATCATTTATATAATTCTTGATGTAGACGTCAAGTTACTAAGAATAACATCAAGAGGATTCGACCACAAAATAAATATGTACGTTAATAAACTTAATTAACGATTAATCTCATTAATATGTTTTGTATCAGTTATGACATCCCAAATTTTTATATATTAAATGAAAATCGTTTCTTCGGAAATGCTTTGATTAAAAATTAATGTTTTTAGAACAAATTTTGCAATAAAAGAATACTCCAAATTAAATAAGTATAAAGAAAGAAAACTTTTTAACTGGCCGTGAAAATGGAGATGTTACACAATTATTAACATTTCCTAGTATAACTAAGGCGAGAATTTTGTTTTAGTACTTTATATGTTATATGTTTAACGAGACATCTTCATATTAAACACTTTTGGCTAACGACAATCCACCGCACAAAGAAGTTGTGAGTAAAAAAGACACTCATTCAACGATCATTTTATAGGCCGTTTTCTTATACCTCTTTTATAATATGGTTTCATGAATGAAGCCTACTCTTGATTTGACTAACGATCTATTTAATCTTTTAGTTTTACATATATTATATATAAACTATTATAATAATATTAATATGTAAGGTTTATTTTACAATTTTAGAATACATGATTTAAATGTTTTAGCTTTAATTAACTTTTAATTAATTAATTTTAAATCAATTACTATTAATTTCAAATTTCATAGGCATATTTATCATTTTAGTTTAATTATTCATGTTAAACAGATTACAAAAATATTTAAAACTAGTGACAAACCCTAAAATTCGAAATTAAAGGCTAAAACCCGAATAACCCTAAATCTGCTCAGGACACGCCATGCCCGGCGCGTCCTGTGACTAACATGTTTTTTTTTTTTTTTTTTTTTTTTGATTTTCTCATTTTTTTTCAATTTTGGTGCTTATAACTAAAACCTAATGGCTCTGATGCCACTGATGAGTTTTCTATGCATCTATACACGAATTTTAGGCAATAGAAGCATTTATGAATAACCTTACGTGTACATGCACCGTAGATCTAGGTTCTACTATTATAACAACATATTATTGAAACAACTAATTAGTACTACAAAAGAATGTAAGATTACTAACCTTAAAGTAAAATCGAATTTACTATTGATTCCATTAAAGATCTTGAAGCCTTGGTTGCTTTTGGAAGGATTTAACACCTAAAGTAGGAATGCCTCTAAAAGCTCACATCTAAAAGTCTACCTTACAGAAGGCTTGGGTCGGATTTATGATGGCTTGCGGGGTCTTTATATACTTGTCGTAACTTGTATTTAAAGCTGATTTGAATCCATTAAATAACCAGATTTAATCCTGATTCAAATCCTTACTTTATCTGTTACCTGGATCGAAATCTAGAAGGGTTCTTGAGCCTCCCCAAAACCGTTCATCCCTTTGAGGGTCTATAATGTTCATCTTACTCAACTATTGAACAATTAACATTCAGTCCATATACTTTTAAACAAATCATGATTAATTCTAATTAATTCCAAATCAATTCTTACTAGTTTCTAATTAATTTATTAACTTGTAATAAATTAATAAACTATTTATGTCACTCTCTTAATTCCTTTCTAACTATTTTAGCTCTTGAGAGCAATCCTAAAATGACTTTGTTATTATTCCCAAAGTTATATAAACTAATGATGACATTGGACACCTATTTCCAACAATCAACACCTACGAAAATCTAGGTGGCATGTGATAATGTTTACTTTATATATATATATATAGATATATAGATATATATATATTATATATATATATATATATAGATATATATATATATATTGCAGTCATCCTTGTGATTGGGATACAATATTCACACTTTAATAAACACAATAATTTACTAATACACAATTTAATATTTTCATGCATACATTCATTTATATTTTAACACAAAATTTATATAAAATATGCAACTTAATACAATCCATTTTTAATTTAATACATAAAAATCACAACATACAATCAATTATACACTATTTACATATTTAAAAAAGTCAAATCAAAACTCTAGCAACACTACCAACTACTACTACACACGGCACCATCAACCACTTATGTCACCGTTGCAACCATCTTTCATTTCTTCAGATTTGTATATAAAATCATTGATTGACAGTTTAATTACTATATGCACAATTTAATAAACTAATTAATTCTCTTATTCACACTTTAATGCAAAACAGATATAAAAACTAATATATTCTTACAAAGTTATACAACACCAAAAATAAATATATTCAAAAGTAAATTAAAATTTATGTTTTTCATTGTAGCTATCATATATGTGTAAAAATCATGCATTAAAAGCTTAAAACTTATAAAAAAAACTCATGAATTCACAATTTAAAACTTATGTATTTCGTTGCAACAATCTGATATGTATAAAAATCATGTATTTACAGTTTAAAACTTATAAAAAAAATCATGTATTCACAGTTTAAAACTTATAAAAAATCATGTATTTACAATTTAAAAGATATATTTACTTATTGATAACCGTTAAAACTAACATTAATATAACTAAACAATAGATGAAACGTTAATCATAATTTTAATACACTAAATTAATATTATTTGAGAAAACACTAACATAAAAAACTATAAAACTTCAAAAAAATCATATATTCACAACATTCACAGTTTAAAATTTTATGTTTTTCATTGAAGTAGTCAGGTCTGTTTAAAAAAATAATGCATTCACAACTTAAAATTTATAAAACCATGCATTCAAAGCATAAAACTTATATCTTTCATTGAAATAATAAGATCTATATAAAAAATCATGCATGTACAACTTAAAACTTGTAAAAGTTCACACATTTGTAGTTTAAAACTTATAAAAATCATGCAATCACAACTTAAAACTTATAAAAATCAATGCATACACAACTTAAAACTAATATTTTATTATTAATACACAATAACATAACATAACTAAAAAATAATTGAAACATTAAAACATCTCAATCACAACTTAAATAAACCTAATTTTTTTTCTTGAAATACTAACATAATAACAACATCCAAATTCAATTCACAACAAAATAACCATAAAACATAAACTGTGAGTAACATAATATTATAACAAATAAGAAACCAAACTTGGATTCATAACTTAATAGCAATTAAAAAATGATTAACAAAAGTAAACAACAAATAAGAGATTAAAATATTAAATTCAGAGATTAATAGAAGGAAAAAAATAAAAAAATCGATATACCTGATGTATTTTACCTATATAAATATATGTAAAATAATAACATAATAACAACATCTAAATTCAATTCACAACAAAATAACCATAAAACAATATTTTCTCCGCTAAAATACATAAAAATACAGAAAGTAAAAAAAAATACAAAAAAAAAAAAAACACAATTTAGTTTACACATTCCACAACTTAATACACTTATTCATACTTTAATTTACATTATATTCATATTTCATTCACATTATATTTTCATCCGTTCTTTCATACCTTCATTTACAATATTTATTGTTTAGACTTTAAAAGAAAACTTCATTGTAGCATTTAATTAAACACCTTATGTGCATCTTTTTTCCATAACTTCGCTTTTTAAACTATACCACCAGATAACAAATTAGAGAGAAATATATCAAGGAGAGGAGGAGTACAAATATGATGAACAAAAAAAATGAGTTTTGAAACAAATCTGATAATGAAAAAAACAAGTTCTGGAAGAAAAACGAGTTCAAGAATAACACCTTTATGTTACGATGTTGAAGGCTGGGATTTATGCCTTGTGATGCTCCGATGGTGACACAAATGGCACGAGAACAAGTATGATGTCGATCGGAAACGAGTTCAGATGGTTGCTCGTCAGAAATCATAGATCTGGACTGGACTCACAGATCTGGACGCCGGTGGTGGCGGAAATCATAAATCTGAACCTAAGCTTGCATATCTGGAAGACAAAACGACAGATCTATTGTTTTTGACTCCATATCTGAGATCAGTGGAGTCCGCAGGTAGATCTGAAGCGAAAAACATTGGCTACTCGACATTCCGATGATGGAAAGCGGTAGAATACGGCGGCGGTAGGTGGCATAAATCATAGATCTGGACCGAAACTCGTAGATCTGGACGTCGATGTTGGTGGAAATCACAAATCTAAACTTGAACTTACACATCTCGACGACATATCTGATGGTTGACGAAAAATAACGTCGATCTGGTGGTCACAACTCCATCAGTCGAGTTTTTTACTCCAGATTAGAGATCAGTGGATTTTAAAGGTGGATCTGAAGCGAAAAACCTTGACTACTCATCATTCCAACGACGTAAAGCATCACATGACAACGACGGTAAGCGACGACGGTAGGCGGAAGGTGGCGGAGGTAGGTGGCAGAGGTGGTGTTGGGTTTTGTGTTCTTGAGAGAGTTTGAGAGGTTTTAGGAAAGTTTTTTGTAAGCAATGTTTGAAAGTGCTAGAAATATTTTTGGATAGTAGACAAAAATAAACTAAAATTAGATGGTTCTTAGGATTCTTAACTTTTCGCGGTTCTCATTTGAACTTTTATATATATATATATATATATATATATATATATATATATATATATATATATATATATATATATATATATATATATATATATAATGGAAAATACAAAGAAAAGAAGTTTGTTTACCAAAGAAAAAAGAAACAAACATAAAACAGAAAGATAATAATTTTTTGAAGGGCAGAAAGATAATATTAAGTTGTATAGACCTCTTGATGCCAACTCCACCATACTTTTCATATTGGAACATATTTATCTCATTTACTATATAATATCCTACGCAACATAAGCTACCCATGTATAAGATTTCTCTCAAAAACACAAAAATGAATAAACAAATGCAAATGTATGTACAACATGATCACTTGCACGGACCGAAAGGCAAGAGTGACGTCCCGACAGATGTTTTAAAACACCTACTTTTGGCGCTAAGAACTAAAAATCAAAGGTCACTTGTTAGGTGTTACTTTGACTACATCAACTAATGTGGCATCATGCTTCTTGTGAGCATACAAGGTGAAATATGCGAGGGTGGCGACAACCACAACACCACCCAACATCATCCTTACGGGTGTTTTTGGCGGTCCTTTTGTAGTCTGGTGGAGAACTTGGCCCTTTGCCATTGACTCCGCCGGCGATGGTTGCAGATTCTCCAATTGCTTCACCACTTTCATCATCATTTTTCCTTGTCTCACCATTTTCCGGTTTTTATTCTTTGCTTGGTGCAAGGTTTTTGATTCTTTGTTTGGTGCAACAATTAAGGGATTAGGTGTTATGTAAGGGTAATGAAACATGTGAAGGAGAGAGGTTAGTGGATCATTTGATAAGTGGAAGAAAACGATTGATTCAAAAAATTCTAAGATACAAATGAGTTAGTTTAGTCCTTACTTTTTATGGAAAGAAAAGTAGCCGTTCATTTAAATTAAAATACTTGATTGATAAATTAGTGCTTATGGAATTGTATGGAAACAGAAAGTGACATCCTTTTATATTAATATATATATATATATATATATATATATATATATATATATATATATATATATATATATATATATATATATATATATATATATATATATATTCTATACTATGAATCCATGATTGTAACTAAGTGGCACAAATTCATCAAATACTTTGGACCGATTCGAAAAATACTCAAAATCGACTCGTTTCAAGTCAAGTACTTAGTACATTAATGAGACTAGCTCGAGTATTGGAATAGTTGGCTTGTGAAACTTGCGAACTTAATCGAGGCTAGTTATGTTTGTATTTTTATAATTTTTTTCCTATTCATATTTACATATATAATCAATTCGAGCTATGCTCGTGACCTTAAACATATTTCTATTCAACTTAATGTAATTTTATTTTTTAATACATAATCGAGCAGAAATCGAAAGTGTTGATTACATTCTCAAGTTTTAGACCAAGCTTGAAAAATTCGGCTCAATCAAGCTAGAGTCGAATTTCGAGCCCGAGCTTGAAAAATTAGGCAGACATGCGAACTTAAGTGAAGGAATTTGTTATGTTTCGAAGGGTATTGACAAACATGTTTAAACATTGTTGTGGAAAGGCTGAAGGAGATGTCCATTTTGTGGGATCCTACTCGCATAACTTTAATAAAGAAATACTAAGTGTCATTCCATTAAACTTCTAAGACAATTATCTAAGTTTCATAAGAGGGAAACTAGTTTAAAAATATAGGTGGAAACAAACACCCCAGGTTCATAATAAAAAATTTATAAAACTAAGGGAATGTCGTTTGCAGTCACGTCAGTCTCTTGCCCCTATATACACCAGATGATCCTGTAAAATGTTAAATAACAACGGGTAAGATTGAAGTTTAGTGAGCATACACATTATTCACCCATTATACAAATTACTTACCCACACATAACACTTATAGAACACACACGTTTGTAGCACATATTTTTGGTACCATCCACCAATAAGAGATAAGAGCATAACTTGTACCCCATTTGAGGAAAATTTACATTCTATACACCTTGTCTAATCTACCAGATTAGGGTATCTGTGACATCCCCAAATTTCTTGTCCAGAAAAGACCGATTTTGTTTATGCTTTATAAAAATCAGAGTACCATTTTAATAAAAATGTTGCAGAATTTGTTCCCAGAAAAACATGATAAATATATTATCAAATCATTTCCGAAGAAATGTATTTTATTCATTTAAACCATTGGGATGTCATCGTCAATACAGAAACATAAGCATAAACAGAACTTACATTCATTTACACTAGTGATCTACATCTCTTTTAATCTCTCAGTGTAAAGTAGCTTTGTATCGATACCTGTGATACAAACAAACTGAGTGAGTCAGGCTTGGGAGCCTGGTGAGCATATAGAGTTTTCAACCCACAATAAATAAATTTATTATGCTTAAACATCAAACAATCAACCTAATTACCCAACCCCATTATCTTATTTATTTCTTAAGGATTTACCCTAAGAATCATCTATCACTTATTCCTAAGGATTCATCCTAAGGAATAGGCACGAAGTCACATCGTCGCCAGGGTTTATACAACAGGCATTAAGTCCATAACTGCCAAGGTAACCAAAGGAATAGGCACGAAGTCACATCGTCGACAGGGTTTATACAACAGACACTAAGTCCATAGCTGCCAGGGTTTATACAATATGTGCTAAGTTCATAGCTCTCATTTATCTACAGTATTATTCACGGGAATCCACCTACAGTACATGTCAATGGGTTTTTAGAGTACAACTGATGAACATATAGTTCACACACTTACAGGTTGCGAGCCTGCTAGTGTTCCACGGACCGTCTAGAATAGTCCATGATTGTCATTCATACTCTGTTGAATGACGGGGGCCAACGTTTGGGTAAGTGTTTCTCTCATATTTTACCACTCACCCTCATCTCATGATCTATATCACTGATCATCCCATCTATCCAACTCATCTTTCATCACATACCAACTATTTCATCTACCCATGTTTTACCCAACATTTTTGTAGATATAAAATACATATACAGTTTAAATTATTTAAAAACCTGTATAAATCATTCATTGCTCACGTCGTGAGTTCTGGCAATCAGTAAAGTACGTTGCTGATATCATTCCAGTTTTATGTATTTTTATCCCATCTTCAAACGCTCATATCTCCTTTGTTTATTATCCGTTTTTGATGATCTTTATATCCACGTAAAGGTGGGAATATCCTATACATGTTTGTTAAGTCATAAATCAATTACATAGTACAGATATTAATCTATTAAGTCATAAAGTTGGCCTAAAAAGCATAAAAATACCAATTTTACCCTTTTGGCCAAAAATGCATTTCTCATGCATTATTTCTCTAGAAATCAATCCATATAACCTGTTATAGTGGTTTAAACTTGTCTTGTCCATTTCATGAAATTACAACTTCATATTCTCATCTTTTTCTCATAAATGACCAATTTGCCCTTTTTGGTCAATATTGTCTAATAGTTACATCTTTCTAAATTTTGGGTTGTTACAACAGGAACAACGAGATACCTAACAACAATAAAGTCATACCCTATCAACATACATCCTAGAACTCTAGTTTGACCCAAAAGTCAACCATAGACAAAAGTCAATGATCAAGGTCAACTTGATAGGCCCCCACGTCGTGGCCCCTTATGGCTACGCCGTGGCCACTCCAAGACAAAACAGTCAGCAACTAAACAACTCCCATGTTGTGACCACTGTTGGCCATGCCTTGGCAATCATCTAAAGAGATGGTACGCAAAAACACCAGTCACCATGTTGTGGTACCAGGTAGCCACGCCGTGGGTACTGGTCATCAAGGATTTAATGGATTAAGCTGCTTTGCCACAATCCCAACAACTCAAACTTCCAGATCTGGACCTCCTCATGGTATTAATGGATAAAGTTTCTAACACTATCCATTAAGACCTCTTATTATGACATGATCGTAATCTCTAAGATCCTAATGAATACACCAAGCCATGGGCATACTCAAAAAGCCATGAAAGCTAACTTTCCAACCAACCCCAAGGTCCAGAAATTAACCATTGCACTCAAAGGTTCTGGAGTTCACTCAAACTGCATAAACAAGAGGTTTTGGGTCAAAAACTCATGCAATTGGCCTACAACTAGATCTATAAAATCAATGGTTAAGGTAAATACTTTATACCTTCAATGATGCAAAAATGAGGTGTAAATGATGGATCTAGGTTGGAACCACTCTTTCAAGTAACACCCAGAAGCTTATTCTTCCTTCAACCTTCACAAAGATGGGTTTCAAGCACTCAAAACACAAAAAGGGGCTAGGGTTTTGGATGGAATTCGATCTCAAGGGGCGGAGGCTTCCAATGAGGCAAACCTAGGAGTTAGTGCCCCTTAAATAGGGCACAAGCCTCTAAATTAAGGTTTTAGGCCCAAAACAGCTACCACACCGTGGCCATATAATGCCACGTCGTGGCCAATCGCGAACCACACGTTTCATTAATCTTAATGCCACGTTTTGGCACTTCAATGCCATGTCGTGGCCAAGCAAAAAAAATGAAACAATTAATAATTTAAGACTTGGAAATTAATACATGAAACAAGGATGTTACAATTCTCCCCCATTTGACTCAGATTTTACCCCCGAAATCATCTGCAATGAACAAATCAGGGTAGTGGGTATGCATCTCCTCTTACGGTTCCCAAGTCCACTCATACTCCTTTTGATGCTTCCACTGGTCTTTCACCAAGTCCACCACCTTGTTGCGCAAGGTCGTGGTCTTCATGTCTGTAACAACCCAAAAATTTACTAAAAATTTAAACTTTTCAAAACCAATCCGGGTAAACAAAAATATTCAAACATCAACATAGTTCACAAATTGTTTTCATATCAGAGTTCCTAGAAATCCCAAATCATAAAATGTGAGGATGTGTACGTCACACCTTCGCGTTGCCCTGGTCACCTGAAGTACCTGAAACAAAAATCAATAAATATAAGCTCGAAGGCCTAGTGAGTTACCCCCAAAATACCAACATATACCACCCAGAAAAATAATAAAAAACAACATGTATAATGAGCCTTCAGCATGACTGGACCACCTCGCATGGCCTACAACCTATCTGGACCGCTCCCGAGCCTTCGGCATGACTGGACCGCCTCGCAGGGCCTACAACCTATCCAGACCGCTCGCCGGGCCTTCGGCCTGACTGGACCGCCTCCTCAGGGCCTGCAGCCTATCCGGACCGCCCCGAGTATGTTGGCCTACAACATGAAGCAGGACCGCCTCAACCAACCCCATACAAACAATCATGTGCACATGGATAACATCAATAGCATGCATATAACAGTCAAACCGATCTAACAGCTCACAAGCATAGCAATGATCCTAATACAATCCATAAAGGTCCGGCCTTGGTGCCTTAGACCCTGTTGATATAGTGAGGATAACTCACCTAGCAAGTAGTACGCCGCTGAACTGAGAGTCTCCAACCGCTATCTCACCGACCCCCCCCCCCCCCCTTCAACTGCCTAAAATGATGAATACTAAATTAATAAGCGGGGTCTCAAAATTGCCAAATGGTCCATATTGTTAATTTCCCTAATTTAGGCCCAAGGCCAAATTATCAATCCATTACCCCATACCCATATGCACAAGCCCAAACAATGGCCCAATTTTCCCAATTGGGCCTAACCTCCTAAATGGGCCTTACCATAGGACCCTTATCATAACTGTCCCAATCTTCAAATATTCAGGGCCCAACAAAGCCCAAGTCAAAAAGTCTAACAACGGCCCAAACCGAAGCCCAA